GTGGGTCTTAGGGATAAAGATGAGAAAAGACTTTGATGTTTGTCATTGGGGGTAGAGATGTTGTTCACCTTTGGGTCTGGGTCTCTATCATTTCGGTTTCTCATCACAGTTACACTGTAGTTTAACTTTACATCTTCCCTCTGAGTTATAGTTTTTCTCTTTAACTTTTCATCCCGTAGTGGCCACCATCTGAATTGTTCCACAAGAAGTTACAATGGTTACTTTTCTTTTTTTTTTTTTTTAGTAATTCCCAGTAAATCTTTACTTTCTGAAACTCCAGAGTCAAGTCTTTGAATTGGCCACAAGTGTGGGGCTGTCTGGACCCTGTCTGTGTAGAGAGTACGGGCCACGTTCTCTCTCTCTCTCTCTCTCTCTCTCTCTCTCTCTCTCTCTCTCTCTCTCATAAAACTTGACACTTTGAGCTGAGGAAGTACTTGGAAATCTCTCAGTGTGTTATATAAGGCATGGAAGCCTTGTTCTGAGGGGGAGGCACATTTGAAAGAACTTGGCACCACACTGTTGAGGAGAAAGATCCGCTTCACTGGTCTAATGTTTATTTTTAAATAATATCCATCCACTCCGCCTGTATTTTCCCAAGAAGAAATTGGATCCTGTGGTACATTCGAGCCTAGCAGCTCGCCTCTGGGAGATGAGCGCTTTGCTCCGAGTCTGTTATCTAACAAAACTGTACTGTAGGGTTATGTCAGCTGAATGTATGCAGTCCATATGGGAAAGAGCCTTGACCCATCCTAGACACTTGAAGGAATTTTATCTTGCCTTCTTCAGTACACTTACCAGAATCGACTGTGTGCCAAGGAGTGGCTCCTGGAATGTTACATTAACTTCCCTGGGGAGACGTGGACAAGCATTGGCTTACCCCAGATAAGGCACCAAAGGAATGGTTTGACTCAGGTCTAGTTTGGTGACCCAGTGAGCATGGGGCATGGCTAAGTGGTTACTTACAGAATACGCATAACCCCAACACGATGGCATCCCTGAGAAGTCTGGCTCCAGTGTGAGGACTGCCCACGTCTGTAGAGATGGACATCCCTTCAGCTAACCTCTCCTTGGGACACACTAGCATTTCCCAACACCCACAGGCAGCTGGGACAGAACCACATGCAGCCTGGACAGAGTGACTGGGATTACAGAGGAGGACCTAATGGCCTCCTCTCATCCCTCTTTGATGAGGGGACATCAACAGGTCCAGTCTTGAGGGCCTCTTGCCCATGAGCACAGCTTCTCTCAGTGGCAATGGCTACGCTTACAGGGCAGCATCTTACTCCGTGAGGTAAGCCATGAGTGTGCGCAACATGTGAACATGGAGGTCACATGATGTATATCGCTGCATGGTCTGTTTGTTTGTTGGCTCCTGTCTTTGCCACTTTGATGCCCTCTAACTCAGAGAAGTTCATTCTACTTTCTGCTGCCTTGTTTTCTGTATCGGTTTCTGTGTTCATGTCTCTGTAACCAGAATACAAACAAAAACAATTGCTCAAAGTTGCAGAGAGATTTTAGCCCATCGCTGAAGGCAGGCAGGCAGGGTGGGGTGGCTCCATCAGTGGCGGGAGGAACATCAGGTAGGGGTTTGTTCATACGGCAGCAGACAAGAAGAGATGGCCGACTGGAACTAGGGACTAGTGTAACCTCAAGGTCTCCTCCGTGGGGTTGGAGAAATGGCTCAGAGGTGAAGGGCATGTGTGGCTCTTGCAAAGGCCCCTGGTTCAGGTCCCAGCACCCATCCTCAAACCATCTGTAACTCCAGCTCCAGAAGACTTGATGTCTTTCTCTGGCCTACATGGCACCTGCATGTTCATACAGGCATGCATGTATATGTGTGCACACACATAAAAATAAAATTTATTTTTTGAAAGAAGACCCACCCCTACTATAGGCGGAGTTTTCTGTCTAGACCACCAGTCAGCTCTGTCCCACCAACCACTTCTCATATAACCACACAGAGACTTATTAGTAATTATAAACGCTTGGCCGATAGTTTAGGCTTATTACTAACTAGCTCTTACAACTTAAATTAACCCATATGTCTTATCTACCCTCTGCCACATGGTAGTACCTTCTTTCATTCAGCATGGCATGTTTATCTCCTGCTTCTTCTGCATCTCTATGGTGACTCCCCAGACTCCACCCTTCTCCTTCCCAGTGTCCTCCTAGTCTGGCTCTCCTGCCCAATCTCTTTCTGCCCACCTATAGGCCAGTCAGCCCCTTATTAACCAATGAGAGCTGTGTGCTTTGGGCTAAAGCCACTGAGGAGTGGGTCCTTTTGATTGAGTTTGAAATGATTCACTGCGAGGAGACCTTTGCCAGCAGGACGAGTGGTGGACCAGGGTGATTCCCATGCTGGCCCAATGTGTCCTCCCCACCCACAGACACATTCCTGTCCATTTGGTTTCTGCTTCTTCACTGAGATGAGAACCAAGAAGGAGCAAATGTCAGATTAATGTTCCCATCCTATTCTCCCAAAAGTGGGGCACAAAGCCCTTCCTAAACGTTTGATGGGGATAGGAACCCTAGGCAAAGAACAAACCCTTCAGTTTGGGGCATCACCTTATGCTGGAATGCCTTTCAACACTCTGCTTCCAATTTCTTTTCTTGCCAAGGCAGGCCCTTTTACATTCAGCTTCTTTACTGGCCTGCCATTTTCTCTCCCTCTGACTGGTTAAAATGGCATTGACCTCTGGGCCCAGAGCCCCAGCTTTGTCTGCAGGCCCTGGCACTTCCTGTCCCTGGGAGGGAAAACATGGAGGTATGAAGACATGGTTTTAGTTTCCTTTCCACCAGTCTCTCTGTGCTTTCAGAGGCAGTGTTGTGGGGGAGGGGCTCCTTGGGCTTCTCTGGGTCAAGTTCTATTTGTAGATACAAGGCAGGGATGACCTGGATCACTGGGTTCTCTTGCTGGCCTCAGTGTTCCACCAGAGTGTGACTGAACAGAGAACCTCAAGCGACAGGGACAGATTTCACATTGAATCCTGGTGGCATGCCCTTTACCCCCAGAGCTGGCCTCCAAGCACTAAAGCGGCCTTCTAGCCACCTCAGCCATTCAGCAAGCTAGGCCTTGCAACTGTTTGAGTCTAGCCCATTAGGGTCCAGCTTCACGCTAAAGCAGAAACCTTACCTTTGGGTAAGGAAACTCTTTCAACCTGCATGGAAAAGTATGGACTAACCTGGGTAGACACAGAGGGCCCGCCTGCTTATTCCTGTAAGCAACATTTGATGCCGGAGGGAACAGACTGGCCCTCAGCTGTTCACATACCTGAGGATGCAAACATCCCTTTTCCTAGGTAGGGTTTCCCAAGTGCAGTTTCACAGACGGTGATTGGTCAACAGTTGAGATCATAGATCTGTACTCTGATGGCTAGGGTCTGTGCGAACCAAGGAAAGCAATCCAAAGCACCTATTATTGAAGCAGGGAGGGGAAATTTTCATAGGTTATCAGGCAGCTGGAAATACCATTGAGTGAATGTAAGGCATCCCAAAGGAGACCGCAGTACAGGGTAAACACTGAGCCTCTCTCTTCTTCTTCCCAAGTACGTTTTTATGACGTTGACAGTATGGTCTCCATTCTCTTTCCTTTCACGTTTTTTTTTTTTTGGTACTACCCCCTCCTATTGTCATCACTGTGTTGTGGCTTTTTAATCGGTAGTGTTTATTTTTGACAAGCTTTTCATAGCCCAGGCTGGCCTAACACTCACTGAACTCCTGGAGATTGGCCTTTTGAATTGGGTATGGGTGTGAGTCACCATGCTGGACTGTTGTTGCTATGAGATATTTCCCCTATTTTTCTTCTATTTAGAGATACTCGTGTGTGTGTGTGTGTGTGTGTGTGTGTGTGTGTGTGTGTGTAAGAACAATCCACCCTGGTTTTGAAATCAGGGTCTCTGTGTGAGGCAGGGGCTTTTTGATTAGGTTTTAGGCTCAATCTCTCCCATGCTGTGGTTACAATAGCTTGTTTGTAGGCTTGTTTATAATCGGGTGCTGGGGATGGCAAGCTCTCTCCAGGCTCAGGCATGTTTTTGATGGGACTTCCCCATAACCTGAATAGAGAGGGGCGAAGGGCTACAGCCAACCATCTTCTCGTGGTGGTAGGTGTGGTCAGGTCCCCTACCTTTTCTGAATTCTCAACTCTTGCACACTCCACGAAGCAGGCAAGATTCTGAGAATCTCACACTGATATTATAGATAAGGAGATAAGCTGGAAAAGTCTAGGCAACTTAGCCGAAACTTACTTAGCGGTTGGTAGTCCTTGTATAAGTTAGAATTCAGGCTTTGCCAGGTGTAGAGGGAATGAATTCTCTAGCTGTTAGATAGACTTGTTCTCTTAAGAATCCCAACAGACAAACTGCACGCATGGGGCAGAGGGCGAGCACACGCCTCGAGCATATCCCTGGAGCGAGTAGTGTCCGCACATTTCTGAGCCATTGGAGGCCCGGGATTGTCTGCAGTGGGCGTCTGTGACAGGGCGGAGTGCAGTGCCTGGTAGCTCCGGTGCCGGTTGTCCTGTACTACAAGTTAGAGTTAGCCTGGTACAAATGCAGGACACCTGACCATCCTCATACAGTTTCTCCGTCTTCGTCCTGCCGAGCGCCCTCCTTTCCCGAGGAGCTGTCACAAAGGAAAGCCCTTGGCGTCCTTACTTTCCACTGCCACAGAGTACCGACTTTACAAAGTTTTAGGGCGCGTTCCTCTGGGATCACTGCCCACCAGTATAACTCCGGCCAGGAGGCTCTCAAGTGGCCCCGGGAAGTCAGGGAGAGCAAGCGACCCTTATGTTCATGTTCAGACCCGGGCTACTCGCAAATGCACACGGTGCTCGGCGGGGGTACATGGGGATCCTTGGGTGGGGGTGCCCAGGGGACTCGGGTCCGGTCCTCCCGCCTCCTAGCGTGGCCTGAAGCCACCGGAGTAGACGCAGCGCCCCTACAGCCAGCTTTTCCGCCTCCATCTCCTCCTCCTCCACCTCCTCTTCCTTCCCCCAGCGGGCGTGCAGTCTCAACCGGTTTAGACTGGCCAGGGTGCCTCGGCTAAGGAGAGCGGCGAGTGGGACCACCCCGGGAGTGACTTCCCGGGGTGGGGGCTGGAAGGTGGAGCCGGCGGGGAGGGTTGCAATCCACGTGTCCCTGGGGCTGAGGGCGGCGGCGGTGGATCGCGCGCGGCGGGACCGGTCGCCCAGCGCACGGCCGGGATCAGCAACCGCGGCCCCAGCCGCGCCCGGGACTCAGGTAAAGGCCCCAGAAGCCGGGGAGGTCCCGGTCGGAGCAAATCTGTTACTCAGCAAACTGCAGCGAGAGAAGGCGGCGCTGTCACCCGCGGGTGCACAGCTGGCGGCCGGCTTCTGGTCCGGCTGTCTGCCCCGGACGGAGAGTGCCCTGAGAACGCCGCAGCGTGCTCTGCACCCCTTCGCCTTTAAAAAGATCAAAAGAAAGAAAGAAAAAAGAGTGCTTGCCTTTGCATAACACTTCCAGGAATCTGAGAACTGCATTTTGCGTGGAGTAGTGGAGTAGGGGGAGCAAGGGGATGAGATCTGGGAGATATGCGGGAACCCCCTGTCATGAGTCTGCCGGGATACCTTCTGCAGGTGTTGGTGGCAGTTCAGAAAGAGGCATACGACCCAGGGTGGGTCCTCACTCCTCACTTGCCAAAAGGCAGCTCCAGTAGAGGTGGGCTCAGGTGCTGGGGGGACTCCAGTTGGGGCTCAGAGTGCGTCTAACTGTAAGGACAGCAGCGCGTGGTGCGGGTGGGTCCTGCCGGGCGCCAGACAGTGTAGCCCCCGGGCTGCGCTCCAGCGTGCAGGAGCCTAGCTGCCAGGCAGCTCCTCAGCCACCTGGAAGCTCAGAGGAACAAAACTTGGAAGGATTTTGGTGCTCATGCCTCGGCTCTGGTTCGCCTAGGTAACCTGCTTTGGTTTTAGCTGTGAACCGAGGCACTGCAGAAGGCAGCAAGCCGTTGAACTTGACCATCAAAGTCGGGATAAAACCTCTTTCTTGGGGATGGCAGGTGTATGCAGCACAAACAATTCGGACTGTTTAGGCAGCGTTTATATTACATATATTATTTACATGTTATTATTTATGTTGATATCCTAATAACCTCACTGGACCTGTCTCATGGGCTACAGTTCAGTCGTAATATTTAGATATCTTGAATTGCCTAGATTGTCATGTTCACCTAGACCAGAGCAGAAACAGCTTAGATGTTTTCGGGTAACAGATGCTAAAGAGGGTGAAGAGGAAAGAAAGGTGTTCATGCTGGGTCCAGCCTCAGTTGGACCCTGTGTTAGTGCCAGGAGTGGCGCTGGTACCCAGAGTTTCCCTCAACAAGCAAATAGAAATTAGACAAGAAAATCGTTTCACCTGCACGCTGGCAAAAACGTGTAAAGCAGCACCACTGATACATGGCCAAAGAACAGACTTCTTGGGTAAGTGGAGAGGCACGCAGCCCTCCCGTCTCCAAGGAAGTGTCTACGGGAAGGGCAAGGGTGTGATAAGGTGATGTGGAATGGCAAGCAACCTTCACATCTCTAAGGAAGGGTCTATGGGAATGGCAAGTGTGTAATAAAGTGGTAAAGAAGACATTAGGAACTCTTGACTAGCTTCTTAATGTTTTCGTTGCTGCTCTACAATACTAGCTATGACGGTGGGCAGTGGCTAGTGTCTGAATGTCAGAAAAGGTGTCTTTGGCTTCAGATAGACCTGGACACTGTCTAAACCAGGGGTTCTCAATGGTCCTAATGCTGTGACCCTTTAACACAGTTCCTCATGTTGTAGTGACCCCCTCCTAGCCTTATAAAATAATTTCGTTGCTACTTTGTAACTGTTGTTTTGCTACTGTTATGAATCATAATGGAAATATCTGATATACAGGATGTCTGATGTGTGACCCCTGTGAAAGGGCCATTCAGCACCCCCAGGGGTTTTGATCCACAGGTTGAGAACTACTGGAATAGACCAAGAGGCTGATGTTTAAACAGATGAGATCGGATTTCTCATTTGTATTTCATCCCCTCTTTTGAACCCTCAATTTTTTGTGGTCTTTTTCTAGATTGAAATGTCCCCCAATGTTTATTGAGAGACTATAGTTGTGTGGAGAATTTGTGGGGGCCGCAGTGACAGGAATCAATGTTTTGCTTGAGGGATTGCAGCTTTCTGGAAAAGACTCCCCTAGCAATAAGTATCTCAGTTTTAATTAAAAATTGTAAAGGAAGAAAAGCAGGTATTCTAAGCCAGCTAGTGCCTATGTTTAGTTTTTCAGTAGACACTAAGTGATTTTTGTGAACGGAAGAGTTAAGCTATAACTTATTATTGAGTCTAAAATTTAAAATAGAAGGCATGCCCTCTGTTGAATCTAGTAGCATAGACAGCATTCTTCCATGTATGTGTCGTGTGAGATGGCCCAGAAGGAGGAGTTCAAGGGCAGACGCACCAACAGTGTACTAATATTGAATAGTAAGAAAAGTGGTTCATCTGGGGTTGTGAGTGGAAAAGTTCTGTGGTGGGGGCAGGCTCTTCATTGAGACTGGAGTGAGAAGAGGATCTTCCTGGTGGGAAGGAGTCCCCACTGAACCAGAGCCTAGCACACATAGGGGCTGATCGGCTGCATGCATAGGAACCACAGCCTCTGGAAGCAGCTGGACCCTGGAATTTATACTAGATGATGCTGGGAGGTGGATAAGGCCAAACACCATACCCGAGGCCAAGACATTGAAGTGTGGCTGAATATTGCCCTTAGGACTGGCCCCAACAATCTGGGTCCTCTCCTAAGTTTGTGTCTTTCAGTTTGGTTTTGTGAGTTACCACTACCCTAAGCAAATGACTCAAATCTCAGTGTCTGCTTTCCATCCACGTGACTGGCGGGGAAAGCAAAGAAACAGCTAGTGTGGTTGACTCCGACAACGATGCACCTTCAGCTGTGCTTTTCCCTGGACCTGTGTTTTATGACGTCATGGTGGAGTTGTGCTCAGCAGGAACCTATCTTTAACTTCTGGGCCGGTGGGGTAAGAGCAGTTTCTCTCGGCTTCCCTTATTTGTAAGGCTAGTAACCATGAATGCTCCTGAAGCCTGCAGTCAAGAGAGCCACGCCGTTTTTGCACTGTTTTGATTTTAGACTGAGAATTTTGATAGGTCGATCTTGGGACTGGAGAGATGACTCGGGAGTTAGCATGTGCTCCCCTTGCACAGGACCCACGTTCAGTTTCCGGCCCCCACATCAGGTGGCTCACAACTGCCTGTAACTCCACCTCCAAAGGGACAGATAGAACTCTCTGACCTCCATGGGCACCCCCAGTCATGCATGCAGACACACACATATACACAATGGAAAACAATATCAAAAGGAAGAAACTAGTCAATCAAACATATGAACCCGATTTGCCACCTTCAGAGCCTCTCCCTTGAGTTATTGCATTGCATCGTTGGCGTAGTCATAAATGTTGACTTTTATTAATACTGTTAAGTGCTGGGCCTGAGTCCTGGAGTCGCCTCTCAGCATTTCCACCCCCGTCGTTCTGACTGATGTCATTCTATACATTCACTTACATATTTCAGTGTTCTTGTTCCCTTTAAACCTGTCACACGGAAGTGGGCATGGTGACTGACACCTCTCATACCAGTATTTGGGAGATGAGGCAGGAGGATTGCACATTGGAGGCCAGCCTGGCTGTGCAGGGAAAACCTCACCTAAGCAAACCAACAAACTCTGTTATATGACATGCTTTAAAAGAAATTCTTAAGCTTGAGCAGAAGCAGGATAAGAAAAACTGTTAGCAGACTTGGTGACCTCAGATATGAAGGTGAGAGCAGCCTGAGCCTCCGAGGAACCCTGGGTCTCCACTGCTGTCATTGTTCCCATGAGTCTCCCAGTTTCTCTCTCTTAGGTCTCCTGTGCTATTTGGCCATTTATGGTGGGGGGAAACTATAGGACAGTAGATTGCTTTAGATTCATTCAGATAATTCACAATTACAATAGCTAAAGGATAGTTCAGGTAACTAGTGCACAGTGTCGAGCTCTCAAAAGGACTGTGTTCCAAGGAGAAGGCAAACATCATGCCTGCGAACCCTATCAGCAAATACCGAGGCCTGCGTGACTTAGCTTTTCTCATCACAGTGATGGCCTTTCGGTGGACTGGGGAAAGGAGGAGGATTTGTTCTGGTGCACAGGTTAGGGTCACCATCAAACAGAGCTTCCAGAGATCAGATTGGATTCTAAGTAATGACGAGTAAATTGTATAAAACTATGAAACTGAAGGTCACGTCAGCGACTTTAGTGTCTTCGTCACGGATCACTTCACCAGGATACTCCAGGGCCAAGCTTTTGGCTGGGTGGCATGAAATAGCTGTAGCCAAATGCTGGAAGCACAAAGCACATGGTGCGGGCAGGACGTATAGAGGTGACGTTGCCAACCTGCATCTATGGAGAAGCTGGGTGTGGTGGCGGGGTGTGTGTGTGTGTGTGTGTGTGTTTATAAGCTTGATTCTGTTAAACCTTTTGACTCCAAATAGTTAATAGATCCTGTTTAATGTCTTCTCTGAGGCTGGATAGGACTTAGAAGAGATGGCTTCTCATTGGCTTGGTGAGGAAGCCAATGGCCAGTGAGACAGGCACCGAGTGAATAAAGAAGTCCGGGGCTGTGCCAGGGGTATCAGGGCAGGCAAGGTGAGACACTAAGTACACTTAGCCCTCATCCAGACTTATCAGAGAGTGGAAGAATCTGGAGAGATGTTCAGCCAACAAAGACCAAAGTTTGTCAGGTTCAACTAATTATTACATAAAAAACAAGGGCCCAACTGTCGTGATATTTCATTTGTCTTTTAATAAATAAAGCTCGCCTAAAGATCAGAGACTAAAACAGCCACACTGGTCAGCCTTATAGACCAGGCAGTGGTGACCCACACCTTTAATCCCAGTAACCACACTAGTTTGCCATAGAAACCATCCAGAAGTGGTGCAAGCCTTCAATCCCAGCCCTAGAGAGGAATATAAGATGGGAGGAGCCAGCTCTCATACACAGACTCATTCTGAGGGTTCCAGGAGGCAGGATCGCCATTTTCAGACTGAGGTAAAGGTAAGAGCTAGTGGCTGGCTGTTTTGCTTTTCTGACCTTCAGGTTGAACCCTAATAACTGTCTCTGAGTTTTTATTAATCGTACTACACCCAACATTGGCAGAATTTCTGTTTTCTTTGGTGGGGGGACACTGAAATTCAGATTTTTAAGGGTAATCTTCCA